GCGGGACCTCCCACTTTCGGCGACATATAGTCCCTAACCCTAAGTAAGGTACCCGCTTTTGTCAGAGATGGATATCCTGTGGAATCTTGGGCATAATTATGACCTACATCGCCTTCTATACCATGCTTAATTGGAAGAAATACCGTTTGAACGTTGCACTATGGAGTTACGAAGTTTGCTTAGGGATAGGTTTGCCCTCCCCCATCTCAATTTTATTTATCTATTTTAGCCTATTTCTTACGCTTTGGTTGCGCCATGCGTTTGGGAAAATAAATTGAATTTTTTCTGCTCATCTTTCTAAAAATTTTGCTTTCTTTGGTAACCATAGATAGTGGGGTACAATACGTTGATTTTTAATATTTGACTTTGGCTTCAAAAATGTTTATTAAGTTGCTTTGTATCCTAGTGTTCTTTGCATGTGTAACTCCCCACTCGCACCTTACTGTTGAGAGTTTCCCAGCATTTCGATTGGAGGATATGGGATATCGCTACGTGGGTTGTTATTTTATCGTGAAGTTTTCTGTTTTAGGGTCATGCTTTGGATGAGATCTACTACTGTGTCAGGGCTCTGTCTGCTTGTCATCCATTTGAGGCTGCACGAGATCGGCTCTATGCACGTTTAGCGGCCATGAAGCGAAAAGTGAGGGGGAATTTTGTTGCCTCTGGAACGAAAACTGATCTATGTTTTTTCTAGGTGGATAAATATGAACCTCTCTTGGATGCTGAGTGCGGTGAAGTACATGAAGATGCTGAATTAGCTGCAAGTGCTGATCGACCCTATGAAATATGGCTTGATATGGAGGGACCAAATATTGAATCGGCTGATGATGGCGCTCACGTATTTCGGTCATTTCTGGACCAACAACCGAGCAAGGTAAGTTTCTACATCGTTTCACTCTTCTTTTATCTTTTTCCTATTCTTTTTACAAAGACATAGGCCGGCAAAGACCTTCATAGGATTTTGGTGCTCTTAGGTAGTAGACCTCCAAGTACACTACCTAACCCCACCTTCAAATTCAATATGTTCTCAAAAACGCTCTTCTAAAGCAAATCGTTAAAGAGAGTGGCTCAGCAAAACGGCAACCTTTCTGGATTTAATGCTGTTAGGCAATAGACTATAGTATACCTTAGCCCAGACCCCACCTGCCA